TAACTACAACCACAAGGTAATTTTCTTAATTACCTTGTAGTTGATAAAGATCATATGAACTTGATTGTCACATTCCTTAGAAATTCTCATTATTGTTAATATACTCCTAATATGCACTTATATAAACAAGTTTTAAAAAGAATGTGTAACATTAATGTGTACAAACAAATGTTGGCTGACTGTTGCTGGACATTGATTTCAGAAACCAAAAGTATGTCACAAACAAAATAAGGCAAGAAAAGCTTTTTAAACTTTAGTATAAATCTGTATCTTTTTATTTCCAATAAAATTAATAATAAACAAACTGGCTTTTATTTTCTTATCCTGACATGACAGAAATATTTTGTTCTTAGTTTAATCATGATAAATAAGAGATAAAACTGAAATAAGGCATAAAAGATCAAGAAAAATTATGAAACTTAAAAGTGTTTTTGATTTCAAGAGCACAGAAGTTGGATTATGTTACCAAACATAAACAATTACAAATGATCAGTAACTCTGTCAACATGTTAACTGTTTGAAATCTGAACTCTTAATCATTGCTAAAACAATAAACTCACAAGAATAGTTATAAAGAACAGTTTAATTGTTTACTAAATATAAAAGGAATTGTAATTAGAACTGTACAAACTTTACTATTTATTTCATTTTGTTTATAAGAATTTTATCCAAATAAAAAGTTTGACCTTGCAACATATATACAGATATTTAGTTTAGGTAGAGACAAAAAATAATATTTATTTTCTCTAGTATCTGTTCCATTTTTGTGATTTAATCAATTTTTAAGAAAATAATACATTGAGCTTTTTAGAGTTTGGTCCCTTATAAATTTCAAGTTTCATACATGACCTTGCAGCTAAGCAATAAAAACATTCCAAAAAAATATATCATGTATTAGGAAATTTCAAATGAAAATAGTGAGTTCTCCTGACTAGAAAATGACAAATTGTAAAATTTTTCATAATATAATAGTGTTACATATCAATAAAACCATTACCATAAGTGACATTTAATCCATGTTACATAGTAACTGCTATTACAATAATAGCATATTATAAATATGATCTAATTCTTATTGAAATGAAGATTGATTAAAATCCAAAATACAAGTGTTATATTTATATACTCAATCTGACAGCTCAAAAGAGCCATTCAATGTGAATACTGTATAAGCACTAAAGGACATTATCTGCTAACTTCTATTTTTCATTACTAAATTAAAACATTTATTAATCAAAGATTAATAATCATCAACTTAATACACCTTTTAGTCTACAAATGGACTATTATTATTCTGGACTTATCAAACATTTAATAATGAGGAGGGATGAATTAATTTGAAAAGAAAGCTTTATTTCTGAAAAAATAAAGCTGTTTCTCTAAGTTAATTCATTCATCCTAGTTATTGAATGTTTGATAAGTCTAGAATAATAATAGTCCATTTGTAGACTAAAAAGTGTATTAAACAATATTAGAATAGGAAAGTAGCTTAATAATTAACTTAATTTTTTTTTTGTATGTAGATTTAGTTCATATGAAGTATATTATGAAGTGATAAATATTCTTATGTATTGTTATTGTCAATAAGCAAATTTATCAAGAATATAATCTGCCAATCACATCTGTTTATATACTAGTTGTAGAACCATTACTGAGCCATGAACCATCATTCTATTCTACTGAGATCTGTTAAATTTAACAGAAGTCTTAGATATTTGATGAACATAAAAAGAAATGAGATAAAACTATAGAATCAATCAATAAAATATATAATCAATAACTATTATAAATTCTTATTGTAATTTGCTGATTTTTAATTATTCACTTCTATGATTTATCAATACAGTGAGTTTTTACTTAATATCATCAATAGATTCTTAGAAACTGCAATGTTAAGCAATATGATGTATAACAAAATCAATTTTACTACAGGCTAAATGATATAAACAAGGTATAATTTGGTTATTTTAATTAGATTGTGTTTGCAACTTTTAGAATTTATTTTCCACCTCATAAAATCAATTTTACTGTTCATAAAGAAATTCAACAACAATAATTACTAAAAATGTACTTGTATCTTTCTTCAACAACATTATAATAAAATGACGTTAAGTGAGGAGTTGCTGCACACTTTTACATTGTTATTAGAATTTTGTTTTATAAAAGTCATCCAAATATATTTAAAGACACAAAAGCAAAAGACACATAGAATGTAATGTGTGAAAAAAAAAGGAGTATGATAATATAGATTGACTATATTATCCTACCTTTATTTAATATTTATCAAGGCTATATAATTGTAATAATTGAATGTATTTGATAAGTCTTCGGTTTTAAGAGTAAACTCTTAACACTAGAAATTGTGCATATAACAGTCTTATCTTTCAATTAAAATATCACACTTGAGATAACAACTGATATTTCTTGACAAATATGGTATATAATTTGCTTGTGAGTAATAGAGAAAAAATTAATTTGAGAAAGCATCCCTTTTTAATAAACAATGTTCAATTAAAATCTATTAATATTTTGAAAACTAAATAAAATCTGTTTTGAAATTCTTTATAGTTTTATACGTATAAAATATTTCAGAAACCAAGAAACAAGATACAGATGTAGAAATGTTTGATTTGAATTAATGTATATAATATTCATAAATTTCTATAATCATATAGAATACTTTTTTTATGCAAAATTTCAGGCAATTTATAAATTATATTTTTAAAGAAGGTTCTAATATTAACCAAAAAATGCTCATTATCTATTGCAGTCATACCAAAACTATTCATTACAAACAATTCCATTTAGAAAGAAATTATAATTATGTTCAGTAATATTTATCAAAAGACTAATTTCAAAAATCACTTTAGTATAATTAGATTGACTTGACTCTAAAAATATTTAATTGAAGTAAATTAGTACTTATGTAGTAATTATGAGTGAGCAAACTAAATATTATCCTCTATGTTTTGAACTTCTTATTTAAAACAACAAAACATCCTTTTCTTCAGCCTGTATTTTTGACTTTTAGAATATTTTGAACTTTTGTTCTATGAATTAACTAATTTTCAAATAAATGATTTAATTCTTTCAAACCAAATAACAAAACACTTGCTTAAAAACTGGATTAGATAAATGTTAACATAATAATAAATATTGCAATACATTTACAAATTTTTCAGAAAATTATTATTAAGCAACAAATACTAACATGAAATTTTAGAAAATGAAATTATAAAAATTTATAAGGAAATATATCAAAACTGTTCCTATATTAGTTAATTCACTTTTACTTTTGTAACTTTTATTAGTAATTTTGTTGATGTTTTTATTTTGTTTTTAATTTTGTTGATGTTTTTACAGTAAACAGTTCAAAGGAACATTTAAAAAAAGATACAAGTTTTGGTGTTCTGGCCAAAACAAGAGAGAACCAAAATTTTAAAACAAACTCTCATGATAATTGGCAATATTGCACCATTTATGCTGCAATACTGCTAATTTTTATTTTATAAATCAGTACATTTATAGTTACATAAGCAAGACTATCTCTGCTACTTGCCATTGATACTTTATTATGGGATATAAGCCAACTTATGTGTATGAAAAAAACCATGCATCTAGATAAGATTTTTATAAGTCTTCAAAATTTGTCTTCTGTAGCACAAAATAATTTGTGAAAAAATGGGGTCAAAAGAGGAGATTATTTGTAATTCTTTACAGTTATGGGATTATTTTTTAATGTTTATCATGATATAAATTATGTTGCCAAAATGAAATTATTCTCAGAAACTAAGAACATATACCATACACACTCAATTAGACCCATAGGTTTAAATTACTCTCGAAGGCTTTAATAAATTCACATCCCAGTTGCATTTAAAAAATAAACCTACAATACTTGAATAAACCCACATCTGGGTTTATTCAAATCACATTTTCTAAGATAAGGATTACTGTAAATAATCTATTGAAAGCTGTGATTGTAAATTGTTGTGTTGCATTTCTTGTCCATTATGTTACTTTTTTAGAATTACTTTTTGGTTTTCATTTAATGACTCCCAGGGGGTGGCCCTAGGGCAGTGTGAATGGTGTGACCGCATCAGGTGCCATCATAGGGGACATGCAGAAAATGCAATGATAGATTGTCTGCGCAAAAAGTAAAATCCAAATTACCTTATTACTACTTAATCCTACCCTCCAAAATAAATTCTATACAACATTGAGCTGGGTTGTGCACATTTCAAAGGTATACACATATAGCATGAAATTCGCACTTAACATTTTAGACTGTTAACCTTTTCAAACAAATATTGTTTCTTTTTACTGTTATTGTTTCTCATCCATACTACTACTATGCTAATCTTTTGGAGGTCTGAGTTTTTAATTATGTAAAAAATGTATGTTATCTTTAGTCTCTATGTACACTTTAGTCTCTACAAGAGAGGGTGCCACAATGAGATTTTGTACCACCTGAAAACCTTGCTAGGGCCTTCTCTGATGACTCTGCCAGTCACTCACACTAACACACACAAAAACTAATTTTGAAAAAATAAATCTACAGATTTGAATAACCCACAGTAATTCTAGTGCATTCAGTAATATATGTTTCATAGTACATTCTAGTAAAACTAAATTCTTTATGAAATATATATAATACAGATTACAAAAAATTCCTTTTAATAAATAATTGCAAGTAATCTTTGAAAATTTCATATTTCATTTTCAAATGTGTATCTTAACCAAAAGTGAAATAAAAAAAATTTAAAAACAGAATATCTTGTCAAGATTCATTCTGGCATCTATGATTCCTCTTACTTTTTGCACGGTTCCTCCACAATTCTACCATAGTGTTTATAGTTTCTGGCAGAAACAATTCTTGCCAAATCAATAATTTTATATTAATAGAATATAGTTTTTTGTTAAAGAACATTCTCTAATATTACAAAAATAAATATAAAATACAATTTAATGTACATAATTTAAAAAAAAAATTTACTTACTTTAATAATATTCCTGCTAGGATTTCTATTGTCGGCACCAACGGATATCTTCAAAAAGGCATGAACACCAAAACTGGCCTGTAACTTGGCCAAAACTTTGGTTCTATCCCAGGAAGGTTTCATGGCAGAATTGATGATGTCCCAACCTCCCACTTCTCCTATGGATTGCATCAACAGCTGGAAAGACCAGAATTTGATTTCTGTCTCCTTCATGCAAGCCGAATAGAAGAGCTTGACCTTCTTGTCGGCAGCCTCGTCGTTCTGCTCGTCACCGACCAGATCGATCAGGTGCCTGACATCCAAGAAAATGCCGCTCCGGACATTGTCTATCAGAGAATGGGAACCAATCTCGGGCGAGGGAAACCGAGCCATCCAATCTCTGCAAGAGTAGGTAAAAAAATCGGAACAGGGATCCACCGAATCATTCATATTGGAAACAACCTCTGCCGCCGCTCTCAGACACCGACTGTCACTACAGTAGGCGGGAATCTCACAACCAGACTTCCCTAACAGAACTGCCAGAGTTATGATGATAATGAAGAAGATGATGAGCATAATGCATAACAATATGATAACCAATCTGAAATTATCCGAGGCAAAGGTCTTAGTTCTATTACCGAATTCGGTCAAGCGACTCTTCCAGTTCCCACCATTCTCTTCTCTTTCGTTACTTGGAGACTCCATACACTTATCGTTTTCTTTCGGTTCTTGTTTTTCCGGATCGTATGTTGCTTTAGACATAATAATCACAATCAACTTCGATACTTTTCCAAATTTTATCTAAAAGAAATGAACGATCTTTACTTTCTGAATATCAAACGAGTAATTAGAATTCAGAGAAACGTTAACCAGGTATTTAACTCACTTTTATAGATCCTTTTCTCGGTTTTTATCTAAAGAAGGTGGATCCACTCGCAACACTGCGACTATCAACTACCTGAAGAACGTGGAGGATCCCTAACTCGACAGATTATTGGTTAGAGATGGTCACGTGAGAAAAACTTTTCTCCAATCTGGCTTTAGTTCGCTGATTTTCGATGTGGAGACACGCGAAACTTGTCGGGAACGCTGTGTATGTATTTAATAATTCCGTCCACTCATTGACCTTGTCTTAAATACGAACAACGTAAACTATTTTCTCAGTAATGTTTCGGAAACGCCCACTCGAACTAAGTCACTTCCCTCATTTCCGTCTTTGACTTCGATGAGTAATATTAACGTCCTCGAATATCGATATAGATCGATTATCGGCCGATCTAGTTCGATCTCGTCTAGAAAAGTACAAACATTATATCGTAAACGGGTAAAACTCTAATCGGAGGGTCCTCAAGATCATTGAATTCCAAAATGCACGAAAAGGTTCAAAGAACAGCGGTCCAAAATATGACCTTTCGCCCCCAAAGTTATGATGACGTCACTTCCGATTACCTTTGAAAACCGACCGACCGACCGATAATCGATCGAAGCGGTCAATATTCTAAAACTCGAATCAGAGCCTAAACCGGCGATGAGAATCATTTGAAGCGTTTCACTATATTTAACGAGATATTTCATTACTTAATATTGCAATTTTAAATATAAATTATCGCCTATAAACTAGATTTTTTAAAGTTTTATTTGCTGGATAATTGAAAAACCGCAGGGTGCCATTTGAGGAGATTTGTTTTATATCTGACGAACGGAAGTGGCGAGCAATAGAGGAAAGTTACTTTCGATAGTAAGAATGACGTTTCTGACCTCACCTTTCGAATGAGAAAGAAATGAATAAGTGCGGTGACATCACTAATTATTCATAGAAACGTATTTCGACATTGGTTTGTAAGCAGCATGAGAAGTTTAGTTTTATTTTAGTCATGTCCATAGATTTCAGGTTGTTGATCCACAAGAAAGTGGAACGAAACTAAATTATACCGACGACAAAAAACAAAAATAAATTGTAAGGTAATCGAAACAAGAGAAAAGTAAAGAATGAAATGGACGATGCCTTCTTGTCATTCGTCACGTTTCGGTCACGGGTCGAAGGTCGTCGTCGATGGGATTAATAGAGTACGTCGACACCTACTTAACGTGTCATTGGTGTCTTCTCGACAGACTTGTGGAACTCGTTAAAGAAATTAGAAGACACTTCTTTACACGAATTTTTCAATTTCTTGTTAGAAACATATTTACACATGTTAAAAATTATGTACACATTTTTATAATTATGGAGAGAAGAATTAAGTATTAAATATGTCAATCAATACTTTTGTCATCGTCTCGTTTTATTAAAGTGAAAATATTTTCTGAAAAAATTGTCAAATTTCTGATAAGTTCCAGTAGAATATTCTTTCCTCGTGGTTATTAGGCTAATGATAACATTGATTTTTTTTATTGTATTTTTCTGGAGATGCACTTCATTTGGTTCATTTCCTCGAAACCATGAAAATAACCGGTTAATCAATATTGTATATTCTATATCTTTCCCTATTCTATTATGTTGTGCTTACTCCGAAACATTTTCATACACCTCGTATCACTTAAGGGATCGACAATCGATATTACTTTGACTTTCCTTATAGATAGAGAAATTGGAAAGAAATTTATGGGAAAGATTTTTCTGTTTTTAACGTAATTGTTGGGGTAATCGAATCTCTCGTATTTTATGAATACTGCTACAAGAATGAGCAATAATTCGGGAAAGTCCCGAGACAGAATTAGTTGATCCCGCCATTGGATAATAAGGCCTATAGTGGAAGTAAGTTTACACTTAACATCGTTATTAAAATATAGGTTATCTGAAAATTTTTATTTTTCAAATCACCTGTTTGATAATTCTATCACTCTATTGTCTTTCGATACCTTCCGGTAGAAAGCAACACTAATATTTTCTAGATTATTGGAGTTTTTTGGACAAATTCGGTTCATTTCCTAGAAAAAAATTGATATATTCGGAACACGTTTTCGATTAGTAGCGTTATTATTATAACTACACGTCCTATAAATACGTTTTTAAGACATCTACACTCGGCGTCACACCTCGTAAATTTATTTTGTACCGATTTATATTCGTCTCGTTTGTCGATGTCGAAGCGTGTTAACCCAATTAAAACAAACGTAAAGTTATAGAATATCCTTTATTTAAATTTAATGTGTCGTCTCGTCGGTCGAATGGTATTTCGTTGACATTCCTCACTTAAAACAAATTAGTTCCTCTTATAAAATAAAAATAAAAAAACCGCAACAAACGTGACTCACGTTTAACTAAAGACACTGAAAAAACTCTCGTGGCAATAGAATTTTTTTTCAATTACATTCTTCTTTAACGGTTTATGATTTGTTAGGAGCTTACTATTAATTACTTATGGAATTCATTTTCTAAAAACGAAGTTTGCTTCTTTCTATAATGAAAGGCGATGAATAGAACAGAAATCATTTGTTGAGTTAATAAAATTCAATTTTCTTTTCTTTTTTTTCAAAGTTCTAGTCGCACCAGTTAAGGTTTTCTAGTTCCTTTCAAAGCGGAAATTCTCGATTTAACCATTTGTAACGATATCAACGAGTAAAGTTTCAGTTTACGATCCGTTCCAGATAAATTATAAATTGATTTCTCTGATATTTGTAGATAATACGATCGATCATTAAGAGAAAATAGAATTTTCTAAATTCCAATGATTTCTTTTAATGGTTAATTTGAATTTTGATACGTAGTCGAACTTACATTAGGCAAAACTGATTGAGAATGTCACGCTTCAAAATTTTAATATATAGGCTTATACATACATAAAGATGCTAAATAAACTTTTATATATTCTTCGATTCCGTTTCGTCATCGAATATTAATGATTGTTTCTCAACACGCCATGAATTTACAGGTTAATTAGCATATTTTTTAAAATGTTTTAGGTCAAAGTTTAGTCATTCGATGGGCGTCATTGCAAATTCTTGGTTCTAATATACAGAAAAGTGTGTTAATTTCGTATTTCGAATGGTAACGAAAATTGTATGCAGTATATCATATAATAAAATTTAAAAGGATACGATCAACAATATTTGCTTAATTTATACTTATTAACGTTTATTAAATTTCCTTTAAGGACAATCTGCTACTGTCCATTGTTGAATGTAGTGTGCTGGGAGTATAAAAATACACAACACTTCACGTTCGTCGTATGTCGAAACACGAAACAATTTCGAATTGTTTGGTGTAAAGCATTGATACAAACGAAGCGAGTGGTAGGTCGACTGGTCGAATTCTGGAAACGAGTAAAAAAAAAGCGACTGGTAGAAACGAGAATGTCAACATTGAAGTGATTTTGCTACGAGTTGCGACCTCTCGAAGGACACAACATCCCGCTTGGGTGTCCGATTTCCAGTGTTGTAATTTATTACACTAAAGAACCTATCAAAAATCTATAGTCGACGTTTAAATGAAAATTGTTGAATTTGTTTCTACATTTATATAAGAATGTAAATTATATTCCGTTTCATAAACACAACTAAAATGTACAGAAATAAAGAAATGGGGGTTTAAAACATTTCCGGATCGACGTAACGTTATAAAGACGAATGAGATGAGGGTAGACATTTATTTGATCTTCCGGCAAGGAGCTAATTGTTTAATGTTTCGCCTTTTCTTCGAATTTTTGTTTAGGAATCTCCCTCCTCGATTAAATTCCTAGTAGAAATATAGTATGTCTTGAATGGTCTTATGTACTATTGTTATAAATTATTATTAACCTCCGTCGTACAGAAATTAACTTTTTTTTTTAAATGACAACTTGGTAGTATTATTACAAAGGAAAACATCACTCAGATTTTACAGGAATTTATACAATTATTATAACCCATTCAAATTCTGGATAACTCTGCATAACATCACACCTATATTTGTGCCCTTTATTCAGTTCCATACAATTTTTGTTACATAAATGAAACATTTTTAAATTGCTATATTTTTTTCTGCATTAATTCAGAAAATTCTGCTATTGTTCTTACTACAGCAATATGGCATGCAATCTCGTTAGTTTTAAATGGATTATGATACGTATTAGGCTACATCATTGATTTATTATTCTAATAAACTATTTATAAACTGAATTTCTGCCTTATTTCTATTCTAATTTTTAAGCTTATTTAAACTTGAAAATAATAATTTAAATTTTTAAAAGATAAATTTACATTTTTTAATAATAAAGTTTTAGTCAGATATTTAACAATTTTTATAATACAGATTTTTAACTGTATATTGTTAAATATATTACATTGCTTTATACAGACACAATATAGTGACTTCTTTCAAACACTTGGCAGATTATTCATCTTTTATTCGGTTGGTATAACACAACTGTAAATATATTACAATTAATGAGAATATGTGTAACACTTAAAACCTGTATTATATCACAATATATTTTAAAGTTCTTTATTTGCATAACCAAAATTGTTGTATCCAACTGAATAAAGGGTGCAAATGCAGGTGTAAGATGTAGAACTACAGAAAATTTGGATGGACTATAATTTTTGTTTGAAAGGTGGGTAAATTAAACTTTTTGATGGGAAAATGTGGGAAAATGAATGGTACATTACTTTGAAAAAAACACAGTTGGGGGTGCCAACTTTACATTCCTGATTGATTGATCTGCTTTCTAAAAAGTTAGAAAAATGATTAATTGCCTAACAATATAAAACACCTCTACATATCAAAATACATTATTTTAATATGTAGGCTTTTTTAGATTGTCATTGACCTGGACATATTGTGTATGTTTTGAGATGAAATTTTTTACAGCTAAATTCTGATTTATAATAAACAAATAGTATATATTGTACTGATATTCTGATTATAGATATTTCTATTGACAAGTGTAACCTCTATTTTCTATCACTATCTTCTAATTTTTTTTGGTTTCTATTATTTTTCTGTAAGGTCACTGCCTGAGTTTTTCCACTTTCCCATATATTTCTTATTCAGATTCTAAATAATTTTAAAATTTCTCCAATACTTTTGTTTTGGCATTATGTAAAATTTCAAAATCAATATGGATTCTTTCTGGCACGAAGAGTTTTTCAATTAGTTCTACATTTTTACAATTGATAAAACAAACTGTATAAAGGTTGGTCAAAAAGTTTTTAAAAATACCATTATTACATTAATACTGTATTTGTGTTTAGGTCATAATGGTCCCTTGATGTGCCTTCTGTTCCTCTGTAAGCACCTATAGAATCCATGATGAACAGATTTTGGGGTACCCCATAACATACTTGATAGAACAACACTCCAACAAGAAATGTGTAGCTCCTGGAATAACTAGCAATATTTATTAGTCTATAGTATTATTCATGCTCTTATGATGTCAACAATAGAGAGGTTGCAACAGTTGACATTTTCATCGTGAAAACATGAATGTCGGATGTTCAGCGCCACCTTCCTGTAAGACTAGAAGTTTGACAATGGCATTTGGAATGTCAAACATGATTCCACTGACATTCCAAACGCCACTGTCGAACAGTCTAAGAAGTCTTACAGGAAAGCAGCACAGAACGTCCAACATTCACATTTTTGTGACAAAAAAATCAGCCACAACCTCTCTAATGACATTTAGCACCATGAACATCATACATTACATATTCACTTTAAATTGGTTGAAGTTATAATAGACTGGAAAATTTTTTATTTATTTCACCTAATAAAGACTAAAATGTCAATTACAAAATGAACTGTTTTGTATTTATTTTTTAAGTTTAAAAGACATTTTTATCAATGTTATTATGCAGCATAATGTTTGATCAGTTAAATACAATAAAATAATTATGAGAAGGATCACTTATGAAAACTGGCAAACTCTATTTTGCTATTTTGAGATGAAGATTATAAACATTAGTTAATCAATTTAAATAGTCTTGATTGTATTTTATTTTGTACAAATATTAATTTGTCTACATTTACAAAGCTGTGGAACAAAATGGCAGTAAAAGTATAAATACATTTTAGGAATAGGAATAATTAACTCTCTGAATTCAGGGCAGCTATAAATTCTTCTAATTTTTCTTGGATTTGACGTACACGTTCTGTAGAAAGAAAATTAAAATTACCAAACTGAATCAAAGTTTTGCAAACTTACAAAAACAAATAATTACTGAGTTCTTCTGCCAATAAAACTCTTCTCCCAGTTATTAATTGGACTTTCTTCTGCTGATCTTGACCATAGTCTTCAAGTACTTCCTTGATTTGTTTTTCGACTCTCCATGCTAGATTAAGAATTATAAGTTATTGTATCTATGATTAAAGTTTTCATCAGATGGAGTCAAAATTAAATATTTCCTTGCCTTCCTGATTCATTATTTGCTGTCGTAAAGAATTAGTAGTTGCTTCGACCATTCGTTTAATTCTCCAAAATAACACAACTTCATTACACTCCAACTAAAGAGTTATTTTAAAATGAGATGCAACATACATAGAAAAACAATTATATTTGTTTTCATATTCAAATTGTCTGTATTTAAAAATTTTAAATTTAAAACAGTTCATAAAATTATAATATTTCATAAAGTTCATAATGTTTTCACCTCTGAATCAATGCCCTGATGATACAAGTAAAATCCTTTCCGACATTCTCCAGCTTTATTTAATATATTTTGCAAAACAAATTGTCTGTAGATTGGATGCCATGTTTGTTTAATCTAGTAAAATAAATTCATAAAAAAAGATAAATTAAGAAATATAATTTTCATTAAGATAGATGTACTAAAGTACAATTTACATATTCATTGTCGACATCTATATTTTGTGACTTCAAATTTCTCCTCACAGTTATAAATTCATCTGAAGTTAAAGTTGGTCCATGATCCTACAAAACCAAAAATAACGTTTAATATGGTAGCAGCTGTTAGTTTCATAATTCAGATATACACATAATATACACATTATTGTCAAATACAAACATATTTTTTCTAAAACAAGATAAAACAGAATATTAATTTTGTCTTTGATCTTTTAATTTTTATTTGGAATGAAATTCACTATTAAGATTTCATTTATATCCTATCTAGATATGAAAAAATAACAAGAGTTATATAAATTTCAGAATATTTTATTCAAAATACAGGTAGCCCTCGGTTTACGCTGCAGTTCCGTTCCTACAAAAGCCGGCGCAAATTGAATCGGCATAAAACAAACCCATATTTACAGTGAGGTATAGGGTTAGGTTCCACATAAGTGAAAAATACCCAAATAATTTTGTTTATTAATACAATATAATACAAAGTACAAATAAATTTAATTTTTAAAATGTATTNATCAACATGTCATTCATTGCTTGTTCATTACATTGTTGCAGCTAATCTGATTTAGTACAATCAGTCATTCTTTCAATGAACTTTATATCCAAAGATAACTTTAAATGAAAGAATTTAAATAACCACAATGTAAATAATTTATTTTTATCATTTTTAATACTCTGTTTAAATTAATTTTTCCTCATATTCATTTCACAAAATCTATTATGTTCAGAAACAAGATATCAATACATTCCTTTATATATCTAGCAGATGCAAAAATAGAAACAATTTTGGTAAATGATTCATTAGAGAATGAAGTTGGCATTTATATATATAAAAATGATCTTCATAGTATTTTAGAACACAAAATCGATGCAGCAGATAAGCTGTTCTATTGAAAAATGACAATAAATTATTTCTCAAAAACTGATCTGTATATTTTTCATTTCAATGTTTTTATTTAATAATTTATTTATGTAAATGTTGTTATTTTAGCTTGTTTAATATTTTATCATTCATTTATTTCTTATAATTACATGTACTATCTAATTTTAAACGTTTAGTTTGTACTTACTCTATCTAATTCTCTCATTCTGGGAAAATTATTTTTCCATTCTGTTTCCAAATTAAATCGTGTTGCTGTTATTTAAAAATAAAAAAACATTAATATTTAGTTAATAAATTAGATATTTCTATCAAATTAATAAATTAAATATTTTTGTTGTTTGATGACAAAAATTATTCATAATTAAAATTTTTTAAACCAATTAATTTTTCAATAATTAAAAATTCACAAATTAAAGGTTTGTTTGATAAACCTTTAATTTACAAATGAATATATTAATCATTAAAATAAACTTACTAACTAAATAAATAAGTAATCTGAACTAATTTCATTTTTAGTACATATTTATTTAATAATCAATGAATGATCATTATTATTTACATTTAATACTTTATTGTTTTTAGATTTTAAAAGTAAAATGTAATCATTGTCTCAAGTTTTTTATATCATGATTAAAATCTTTCAGTTAAAAATATTACAAAAATATACATACATATGTATGTATGTACGTATGTATATTTTTGTAATATTTTTAACTGAAAGATTTTAATCATGATATAAAAAACTTGAGACAATGATTACATTTATATATATATACCAATGAACACTATATATATACACAGTTGAGCATTGTTTATCCGAAAGTCAGTTATCCGAAAGTATTCCAGTTGGCAAATTTAAATTTTTGCTAGTGCTGTGGCGCTACAATCTTTGGCTATAACTTGGGCTACTCCAATATTTTCTTTTGTTGGTGTGTGTTTTAGCTGGCAGCACTGGCACTTTTGTGTGGTGTTTTTCTGAGCACTGTGTGTCCTGCTGAATCGAACATTTTTTATACTAGATTAACTTCTAAAGTGTAATTTTTATTTGTTTTTATATTTTTCAATATATTTATTTCGTTTGTAAAACACAAAAAAATCATTTTTAACGATACAATTATTGTAAAAAATTATTTCTTTATGTTTTACAAACGAAATAGTCACGATTATTATTTTAAAAAGCTTACGTTAAGCTTAACATCGACGAAAATTCAACACGAAGTGACACACAAAGAAGAAAAATTTTAACATCGGATACGCTAAACTATTTTTTCGTACATAATCGGTTAGCCAAAAAATAAGTTATCCAAACAACCCCAGTCCTCAATTGATTCGGATAAACGACGCTCTACTGTATATATATGGTGTTCATTGAAAAACTAATTAGAGCAATATCAATCTATTTCTCAAATTAGTATTTTTACAACTACATCTCCAGCTAATCTTTATTAAAATCTGATAATACTATTTTCCCATAAAATGCTTGGAGAATATCCATATCATAAGAAATTTTGTTTCTTATCATCTCAAAGTTAATCGGTAATCATTGAAATAAAGANGGCATTATTGTGAATCGGTGTAAATTGAACTGGCGTAAACCGAGGGCTACCTGTATAATGTAGCCCTCGGTTAATTCTTAAAGGAATTAAAGCTTTGCTTAATTTTCATTTATTTGTTATGTTGTAATGAATGTTTTTGTTATTTTTTAGCTCTAATTTTTTAGCAGATGATAATATACTTGCTCTATACTGAATTACTGTTCTTATACAAGTTAGAAGTCTAAGGTTTCCCCATTTGACCACAATACTGACAATATACAGATGTACTCACACCTAACAATATTCATTAAGTCTCTTTTGTATATTCAATTAATTATTCAATAATTTTAACAAGTTAATTAAAAATTTTAATTATATTTCTTATAAAAGTATATTTAGTAGTAAAGAGATTCACAATTTAAAGTTAAAGGAAAACTCAGAATTCAATGAAGATTTTTAAAAAATCACATAAAAATAAAATACATATAACTGAAACCATTTCAATTTCATTTTTATCAATATAAAAGCAAACAAATTCAAATTTAATGAACAAATTTTTAAAATCTTAAATTACTTTCACATTCTTTTAATATTAGTAATATAAACTATTTAATTTATATGTTATGTTTTTTTATTTTCTGATCTAATTGTGGAAACTCAGCAATTCTTTTGATTTCTTATTAATCAAAAGAATGGCTGAGTTTACACAGAATTATAAGAAATGTTTTACATAGTTTATATATGCAAGATTTCTTATATACACATTAATAATAAATTGTCAAAATATTTTAATAGCATTTCTAATACAGTAATTTAAGTAATTTGATAGGATAATTTTTATGAATTTAAAGTCATATTATCAAATTAAATTACTATAGTATAGAATACAATTTTATACAACCCAGAAACAGACTCTGTACTCAGTAATTATTTTATAAAAAAAACTGAGTCAAAAAGCATAATAAAATGTAAATTTTACATTACAGGAATTTGTTCTTAATTTATTTAACATCAGTAAATCAATGCTTTTTAAAGGATTTAAAGATTTTAAAGGAGCAAAAAATTATAATTTTGTAAATCCATTATTCAGAGAAAAAAAAAACTGATTTTGTTAAGATTATCTAGTTTATTACAAACTAATGTAGTAGCCTTTATCAGATCCCACAAATTTTATGAGTGAAAGATTCTAAGAATAAAAAAATTTATCTTTTAATTTTTGTGATAAAAATATGAAGAAAATAATTGTTTTACTGATTATTTTCAAATATTTTAAAACCTAAGTTTCTAAACTTAAGATTGAAAGAAACATGTTTAAACAATGAGAAATATTTGTATCTAACATTTTTGATCTAATTTATAGACCATCATCAGGATTCTTTATCAACAAATTAATAAATTTGAATAACTATTCCAACTAGATTACTAAATTTGAAATGTTAACATTTCTAAAAAATATCTGACAATTTGCTTGGGTTTCATTTATCATCAGTACAGGAAATCTTTGTTAGTTCAAAATATTTGCAACTTCAAATTATCTGAGATTTACATATTTCTATACAATATGCCAAATTCCACGTAACTGATGTAATTTATTAATCAACAGCTACGTATACAGTATGCTATTTTCGTTAAATAATAATGGTGTGAAATCTGTGATTTTTATGCTGATGTCGGAAAAATCTTTGTAAACAACTCTGATGAAAAAAACACTCTTGGTGAGAAGTATATCAGAGGTCACCGATTGTTTTCACACTTAGGTGGGAAAGTTGACACTTAGTTGATCGGAATGCACCGTTAGTGTCAACAAAAGTCAATCATGTGGCTCCTTTCACATGAAAAACGTATAAAAGCTTGAGTCCCTGGAAGTTCCGGGCGACCAAAGGAAGTTATACTTATTACCGAGTGCATCTTGTCTCCATACACCAGACATAGTGATCGAAAGGACATCGCAATATGACAGACAGCCATTTGAACTTCCATAATTATCGCCATTCTACCGTTCCTGCATCGACTACAATTCATACGGCCCATTCAACAAATGCATATTAGGCATATCCTCATAGAGGTATTTGTATTTTCAAGCATTGTGAACTCTCTCTCTCTCAGAATAGCTGTTAAAGCTGTTAGAGCAGCCTGTTCTTATAGTTAACTGATATTTAACCACATTTAGCCTATGTACTGTTATAGCCTAATGTATCTTAGCTTTAATATAATAATAAACGCTTGTTTATTTTGTTAAACCTGTCATCTATCGTTGTACCTGCCAGCTTAATGACGCACTCCCCACTCACTTTTTGCCCTCATAGCCATCCTACGACCGTGAGATTGGGTTTTACCAACCTTCTGCAGCGTAAGTGCTCAGAAGGGATTAACCCCTGACCCTCTGCTTATCTCACAATAACAATAAACAGCAGGTAAACAGGATATGTCCTGTAAGAGCCTCACTGGTTGCCAGATAGATTTTATAAAAAGTAAAGCAGAATTCCTTGAAATGTAGCCCAAATTATTTTTAAAGTGGCCCAAAAAATAGTAGCCTAAAGTCCTACAAATATCTCAATCTGCTATGTGTAGCTCAATCTTGAAGCCCAGTCATATTTTATGAAATAAGAGATAAAGGTGTAGTCCATATGTAAGGTGACACTTAAAAAGTGTTATTGTAAAAGCAAAGCCATATTGACAAGATTAGAGTTGTTCTTGATCTATTGTTCTCATAGCATGGAGGAACTTCAATCTAAACAAGTTAACATATGCATATCACTGTTCAGATAAAGTTTCAGTTCAAATTTTGAAGTAGCCATATTTCAAACTTAATTCCTTAACATATAAATCTCTACATCCCCGGCTGGGACAAAAATACAGTTACAAACTAATGGGGTTTTGAACTATCTGAGTTCAAATTAACAAAGATTTCCTGTAATATCATAATAAAAAAAATATTTTCATTACATTCCTGTCTGCATTAAGAAGATTCTCTAATTCCATTTTTACAGCTCGTCTGTTAATTTGGTCATCAGTTGTGTACTTCCAATAAAGCCATTTCTCTTTAAATCCTGGACCTATCATTTCTTGAATTCTTGTATTTGCTAGAATAATAATAATAATAATAAATAAATTTGAAAGATGAGAAATATAGTCCAAATTACTTAGTAAAATTTTTCAAGACTACAAATTTTAAAAGCATAAAAAATGTACTACTGTGACTATACTTGATTGTAATTTATCTTTAATTGAAGATTCCAAAAATTTGATTGACTCATCCCATTGTTGTTTGTTGTGAACTGAACGATCATCAAGAGCGTTGAGTTGAATGATTCGCTGTAGATATTTTAATATCAGATAATGTTTTAAAAGTTAAGGAAAGAATTCATCAAATTGGTTATTTAATTACTAACCAACATGTCTGCAGCTTTGTTGTCCCATTTGTGTTCTTTCAAAGCATCTCCTACAACAGCTGCTTTAAGTGGATTAAAAATGTTATCATGTTCTCTTGATGAACTTGTTTTTTCCATTAATTTCTTAAATTCCTCTTCAAGTGTCTCCCACCCTACCTATTCCATCACATTTTATTTTAAAATACATTTTATATGTATATATATATATAAAATTAAAAGTTTTACCTCAACACATTTGTTAGGAAGCATCTTGTCGGCCCACACTTTTAATTTAATATCTACAGTTGTATTGAATGTTCTACAAGAAAAAATTTAATTATTTCATTAATTAGCATAGATATTTAGATCTAATATATAGAATATTTCATTGGATATTTATGTTGTTATACTGTATATTCAGATATAAAAATTTGTATATAATAAAATGGACGTATGATAAGTTTTATTATTTGCTGACAAATATTCTCTCTTCTAGAAATATATGAGACTGTACTGCAAATTCATTCCTATGATGTTACATGATTTGTATAAATTTTTTAGTTAATAATTTCTTAAAAGCTATAATCGAAAGAAAAAATGAATAAACCAGTGATTGAAACCAATAAATTTTTATCTAACCATGATTTTGTGTGTGTGTGTATCATTTTCAAAAAAATTCAAAAACAAAATTTTGCAGAAAAAAAAATTTGATAACTTTACTAATTCTTTAAAATAATCAAATCATTAAAATATTTGCAATTCAAATATTCAATGAATTCTTAAATTTTTTATTTCAGTTCAAATTAAATTGTCAATAATCTATATATTGATTATTAAACTCAATTATTAAAAATAAATTAAATTTACATTTTTATGATTTATGTATTAGTTATTGACAAATGTCTATATTGACAATCAAAATGACAAAAGATATAAAAAATTTATGCTATTTTCATCTTTATTAATAAATTATCTTACTCGATTAATGATTTAGTGTGATACATAAAACTATATAATGGTTTGGAATTAATAAATAACTAAACTACTATTATTATATTTGTTCATATTATCTGATCATTATTTGAAGAACTTAATGCAAGAAATCCTACCCTGAATTTGTGGTTTGAGCAGCTGGAAAGAGTATATTTTCAAAAACATATACAGACATTTTCTCCCATAATTTTTTCTTCAGCACCTCTTCCCTAAAACATATATTATTTTATTACAAAAATTATCATAATTATTGAATAAAAATTAAAAAAGCAGTAATACCAATGATGTGGAGTTAGCTGACTTAGATTTACAATTTCATCCAATATTTCTCCCCTTGCTCTCTCAAAAAGTTCATCCTAAAATGGTTGAATCTTACTTTTTTATTCATTATTTGTTAGAATTTTAATTTTATTGTGTTAATCAAAGTTGTGATATTCAAAAATTAGAATTAAGAAATAATTTCACTCATATTGTAATAGGAAAATTTAATTTGTAAACTTTAAACACAGTTTAAAAGCATTATAACCACTTATAGAAAAATTAAGAAGTTAAAACAATTTTATAAATAAAAAAATAAATTCAAATTTTTCAAAAAAATTAGTTTTTATGAGAATTTTAAAAATAATTTAACAAACATTTTATAAATACAGTTAGAAATAAAAAAAAACTGAAGTTGTCACTTTAATTTCTGTAATTAGTTGTATATATATATTTTTTTATTCTTAAAATGCCAGTAGACTATAGTAAACTACAATATTTTATTTTTGCAAGAACAATCAGGTTCTACTGTCAACTGAATTTAAAGACTAAAAACATTCTTCATCCCAGATTATTAAATTTAACATGGATATAATAAACAATTTTTTTATTAAAATAATTTTGTAAATTAATTGTATCAACAATTAATCAACATGTCATTCATTGCTTGTTCATTACATTGTTGCAGCTAATCTGATTTAGTACAATCAGTCATTCTTTCAATGAACTTTATATCCAAAGATAACTTTAAATGAAAGAATTTAAATAACCACAATGTAAATAATTTATTTTTATCATTTTTAATACTCTGTTTAAATTAATTTTTCCTCATATTCATTTCACAAAATCTATTATGTTCAGAAACAAGATATCAATACATTCCTTTATATATCTAGCAGATGCAAAAATAGAAACAATTTTGGTAAATGATTCATTAGAGAATGAAGTTGGCATTTATATATATAAAAATGATCTTCATAGTATTTTAGAACACAAAATCGATGCAGCAGATAAGCTGTTCTATTGAAAAATGACAATAAATTATTTCTCAAAAACTGATCTGTATATTTTTCATTTCAATGTTTTTATTTAATAATTTATTTATGTAAATGTTGTTATTTTAGCTTGTTTAATATTTTATCATTCATTTATTTCTTATAATTACATGTACTATCTAATTTTAAACGTTTAGTTTGTACTTACTCTATCTAATTCTCTCATTCTGGGAAAATTATTTTTCCATTCTGTTTCCAAATTAAATCGTGTTGCTGTTATTTAAAAATAAAAAAACATTAATATTTAGTTAATAAATTAGATATTTCTATCAAATTAATAAATTAAATATTTTTGTTGTTTGATGACAAAAATTATTCATAATTAAAATTTTTTAAACCAATTAATTTTTCAATAATTAAAAATTCACAAATTAAAGGTTTGTTTGATAAACCTTTAATTTACAAATGAATATATTAATCATTAAAATAAACTTACTAACTAAATAAATAAGTAATCTGAACTAATTTCATTTTTAGTACATATTTATTTAATAATCAATGAATGATCATTATTATTTACATTTAATACTTTATTGTTTTTAGATTTTAAAAGTAAAATGTAATCATTGTCTCAAGTTTTTTATATCATGATTAAAATCTTTCAGTTAAAAATATTACAAAAATATACATACATATGTATGTATGTACGTATGTATATTTTTGTAATATTTTTAACTGAAAGATTTTAATCATGATATAAAAAACTTGAGACAATGATTACATTTATATATATATACCAATGAACACTATATATATACACAGTTGAGCATTGTTTATCCGAAAGTATTCCAGTTGGCAAATTTAAATTTTTGCTAGTGCTGTGGCGCTACAATCTTTGGCTATAACTTGGGCTACTCCAATATTTTCTTTTGTTGGTGTGTGTTTTAGCTGGCAGCACTGGCACTTTTGTGTGGTGTTTTTCTGAGCACTGTGTGTCCTGCTGAATCGAACATTTTTTATACTAGATTAACTTCTAAAGTGTAATTTTTATTTGTTTTTATATTTTTCAATATATTTATTTCGTTTGTAAAACACAAAAAAATCATTTTTAACGATACAATTATTGTAAAAAATTATTTCTTTATGTTTTACAAACGAAATAGTCACGATTATTATTTTAAAAAGCTTACGTTAAGCTTAACATCGACGAAAATTCAACACGAAGTGACACACAAAGAAGAAAAATTTTAACATCGGATACGCTAAACTATTTTTTCGTACATAATCGGTTAGCCAAAAAATAAGTTATCCAAACAACCCCAGTCCTCAATTGATTCGGATAAACGACGCTCTACTGTATATATATGGTGTTCATTGAAAAACTAATTAGAGCAATATCAATCTATTTCTCAAATTAGTATTTTTACAACTACATCTCCAGCTAATCTTTATTAAAATCTGATAATACTATTTTCCCATAAAATGCTTGGAGAATATCCATATCATAAGAAATTTTGTTTCTTATCATCTCAAAGTTAATCGGTAATCATTGAAATAAAGATAGATAAAATTTAATTTTAAAAATTAAATTTTAAGCTATTATTTTATATTTGTTAAATAAATATCATGAAAATATGATTATTTTAAACAAATCACAATTAAATAATAGTTTTTCAGTCAAAGTTTTGATATTTGAATAGTAGAGTATTTATTGTTTTTACTAATTTAATTCTCATTAAATTTGATGTAAAATTTTCAATACTTCCTGTCTATCTGCATTTTCTAATCAGAATAGTTTACTGGTCTCTTTCACTTTAATAAAAATTAAATTTTTCTTAAATATCTGTTAGAATATGGATATTCTTATGCTACAAAAAGCAGAATTAAAAAAATTAAACACAGTACCTTTAAAAGAATCAGCTTGCTGTTCTATTGATTCCTTTACCATTTTCCAAAAACATTCTGATACAGCAAAACTAAGGCTCTGTGTTGTGCACTGTGACATATTTAGTATTCCTTCTCTATTGCATATTTAATAATTTTTTAATAATTTGTAATAGTTATAACTTTATATGAAATAAAAAAACTTTTAATACCTACCTACATAACTTAGACTTCATAAAAAATTCTTCTTCATAATTTTTTATAGCTTGAATACTATCTATTTTATTTCCTAAAAAACAAAAGTTGAAATGAATGAAAGATTTTGGAATATAAATTTAATTCTAGATATTAAATGAATATTACCTCTACCAGTAACTACAGCAAAATAGCCTAAAGCTTTCATTGGAAATAATTTGCCATCTAGTATTTTTTTAATCTACAATAAAATAAATTTTTCAATATAATTTTGAATAAAAATAATAAATATCCGTAATATTATAATTAAAAATAATTTATATATAAATTCATTTACATAATGTACCATTTTAAAGTATTTTAGTTAATTTAATAATTTTTGGTATATAAATCCATCATCATACACTTTTTCAAATCTTGGAAAAACAAATTTAGTGATAATTAGTAGTAGAAAATGTTTGACTAAATGAAATATTTTAATTGATATGAAGTGTTAACCATATAAATTTCATAATAAGTTGATAAGTACAGGAAACCAATTTTATGAAAAACTTTGTTGATATTTTATCAATAATAAAATATGATAAATTATAATTCATAGGAAAAAATTAGCAGCATGTCTGATTTCTTAGTGTAATGAATATATAACAACAGTCTGTTCTAAATTACATTCACTAATTTCAAATTATATATACAAGGGCAGTTTTTTCCAAGCTCCAATGGTTCAATAAAACAGAGAGAAGTGTAAATAACAAAATGAATTTTATTACCAAAAGTTACGTACAAACATGGTTACTTTTTGACATAATCACTGTAAAGATTGAGGCATTTGTCATATCTGTAGACGAGCTTTTCCGTCCCCTTCTCATAGAATGTTGCGGCCAGTGAATTGAGATGGCCTTAACAATGTTGTTTTGAAGATTGTCATTAGTTCATTAGTTTCAAACTCTGCCCTGATAGCCACGTTTTCAGTTCAGGAAAGAGGTGGAAGTCTTCACACATTAAAAAGTTTTAAGCTGGATGGAAATCTTCACCACTTTAAACATTTAAACCCAGTGTATAGTCCCGATTTAGTGCCGCGCAACTTCCACCTCTTTCCTGAACAGGAAAAGTGGCTAGGAGGACAGAGGTTCAAGACTTCATCTGACCCTTTGCTTCAGATATATTTTATTTTAGATATAACCATATACAGTTACTTAGAATTTAAATATTAATAGTAATGATAATATAGCTCAATTCAATATGGCAATCTTAGCTTATTACTAAATGTGCATGATTAATTCAGAAATATTTAAACTTAAGTATATTTACATATCTCTTTGAATTTCAAAATTAAATTTCCCATAATTTTAACTGATTTAACATGACCAAATCAACAACATAAAAATACATATAAAATCAGCAAGTATATTGAGATTATAAAATAAGATTTTACTACTAAATTCAATTAAATTCTACAGTACACAATTATATTGTTTTTATATAATTATCCATATGAAATGATATATATAAGAGGTTCCAAACTTATTTTTAACACAGAACCCTTTTCACTTTAATAAAAAATGTTGGAACCCTGCAGATATCAACAAATTAAAGCATGCTAGGTAATCACTTTACACAGAAACCAAAAATAAACCTATAATTAAAAATAAAATCAAAATGAATTAATTAAAATTGAAATCAAATCAATTGAAAGTTAAAGCAATATTTTCAAAAATCATTTAAAAGTTGTTTTAAAATTTTCAAATTGTATGTTAAATTTTCAAATTAAATTTACATTTGTGTGCAGTGGTGACAGAACATCTTGCTTTTAATATATACTGTATACAGATTTAACAGTTGTATTTTTATTTATATGTTGGATCCTTTTTAAGATTGATTTTTTTTTTTTTATGATTTTCTAGCTTTAGTTTATGTTTTACTATTTTTATGGTTTTCATTACTTTGTCAAACATTATGACACAATTTTGGTTTGTTCTGTTACCAATAAATTGGTCCTCACTGTTTATAATGATCATGTTTCTTTATGTAGCAAGAGTGTAGCGAAAATGACATACAAGCAGCTATTGCTATAGGTTGCTGCATTATAGTTTAGAAACACTTTCCACTCCAGTTAAACATGAATGCTGTAATCTATTCTTTAATTCTAGTTACAGCCAAAAGTAGTGTTTTAGTTAAAGAACTACAATATAACAAAAAAGAGACAAAGAATTGACCATTTCTCTTTTCAAAAATGTGAACAAAGTAAAGAGATAGAAGATGAATATATTTTTATTTTCACAGCATAATATCACATTGTACTGTACATATAAGCATCCATTTTGCTTTACATGCGAAGCAGATGTAAAAGCTGCTTTATCTTTTCTGCAGCAACCCCTGGCAGCAAACATTTAAAAACTGTTTGCTACATGATAGTGCTTCATAAAGAAACACAACCAAAGCTATAAATAACTTTAGAACATGTATAGTCTCATATTGAGTCCTTGTATTGTCATGCAAGAACTCAATCTAAGACTAGAACAATTACACCTCATGTCCTAAATCTGCATTAGCACATTCATATATCATTAGACTCAATGGATTTTATTGTAGAACTCCAATTTTTATTAGCAGAAACCTAGGGTTCCACAGAACACAAGTTGGGAACCTGATATATATTATTTGAGTGATTTATTTAGAAATTAAAGTCATTTGAATTAAGAAAAACCTAAAAGTATACAAAATGAATTGCAACAAAAAAATTTTTGCATTTTACTGATTTTAAATTTTATTCAAATTTTTGTTTGTTTTCCAACTTTAAAATTACTATAATATACTATTATAGCTTAAAAATTACTGTGGGTTAATTTTACAATTGATTAATTTCTTAAAAAAATATCTATAATTTTTCAATTCCTCAATGATAGATTTGTTAAAGATTAAAGACTTAACAAGAAAAAGCTTAAGTATTTGCAGTAGCTAATTTATCTAATATACATATATATTTGCAAGCACATTTCCACTATATTCTGCAAATTTTTATTATTTTCTTAAATATACACCATTTATTTGTTTGTATTTGTGCTTTGTTGAATTCTTTGATTTTACATCTCTACAGGTGTGCAGAATATGTCTGATTATGTGAATGTGGTTTGGAAAAATTAAAGCAGTAGTCTCAGGGAACTTTGCAGTAAAAAAACTACTATTACAGTAATAGCTGAAAAAATGTAATAGTGTCTCAGCTAAGCCTGTAAATATTAATTGAGAAAGTTTATCAAAATGCAGGAAACTTTTGTTTTAAAAATAAAATTGAAACATTGTTTACTTAGTTTCTGATCAGTTCAGTCAATACATCACTGCCTATTTACAACTATGCATTTGCAGTAAGGCTGTGTCAGACTCTGTTAGGAAACTGAAGTTTTGCTTTTTATGAAAAAATCAAAACAAAGCATTAAAAAGAACAAAAAAAGAAATTCAGTTTTTATTTCAAAACTCTCTTTCACAATATTTAGTGACAAAAATTTTGGATAAAATTAAAGAAAATACTCCTTGTTTCACATGTGCAAAACTTGCAAATTAATAAATTGTATTTAAAAATTTTTCCTAAATTTTCTTGATTAAATAGCTAAATAGAAGTTTCATTATCTTTTTATAAGCATTATTTTCCTTTATTTTTCATATTTTTTAGTAGATTTATTATAAAATAAATAAAAAATATTAATGCCAAAATATATTTTAAATCATCATAAAAATATGGTTATGTTTTCAAACAACAATATTGATAATAATAATAATAATAATAATGAAAAAGTCTGTCAAAAACTCTTGAATAGTTTACCTTTTTTTACTTTTGCAAAAAATTAGTGCATTTCTTAAATAATTTTTCAGAAAAATTGCATGTTGTCATCTTCATAAACAAATTTTGTTTTCAGATGATAAAAAGTCCATTAATTAGCACCCCATGCTAAAAACAGGTCATTTGTGGCAATGACTTCAATTTTATTTCTATTCATCAGCATATTACATCAAGTTTATAACTGTGTCTACTATCCTAAAACAACAACATATGCTTAAATATTTTAAAGCATGTTTTTTTAATTTGAAAAATTTTTACACTAATTTATCAGTTTAGTATTGAACTAGAAATTATACAGCAGTCCTATTTAATTATTTCTATGACCTAATTTGAATGTTCCAAATTACATAATAAAAATTATTAGCTGGTTTGCAAATTGTTGTTTTATTTTGTATGCTAGTGTGCAATAATTTTTGGAAAAATTTTAGGTTGTAAAAATATTCTACACCTCTATCTCTGTAATAAAATAATAATTTCATATTTATTTTTATATATCATTCATATTATTTGATCAGTTGCTTCTTTTGTGTTATAGATTCAATGAATTTTTCATTTCATACACATTTCATGAAGATACCATTTCTATATCATAGTCTTAGTCATACCTTAATGCAAAAAAAAAAATCTAAATTGAAGTTAATCAAATCCTGATAAATCTAAATTGAACATCAACCAACCAACCAACCAACCATTGCAGAATCAGGAGTCAGCATGATCTATATGAAACAGATGACTCAATTTGAGAAGAAAAATATGGCAAAGAAGAAAAAATTTAATGTAACAATAGCATAAAGCTAGAAAAAAGCATTATAAATTTGACAAAAATAAGCAATGATTTAAAGAATGATCTAGAGAATTACAGTATGAATATCCACAACAATATAGTATGACGACAAATAGGATTTAAAAATTTAATCAAGTATGTTGTTATGCTAATTTGGTATAGATTTCTCCATATAATATAACTGAAAATCATTCTTACATTTTATGTTACTCTTATTTTTTGGAATTGTGTGACATCCATTTCATTTACATTTTAAATTATATTGTGCATTATACAAAAATAATTAAAATATAAACTCACTCTAGTTGGAGATGTCATATTTTCTTCAGCAAGATCAACTTTCGTTAAAACAAATATAGTTCTTCTTCCTTTAGGATCAACTTGACTCACTAAATCTGTAACAATACTTCTTTCTGCATCTACCGAACCATCTGCAAGCAAGATTTTAATATTTTTATCTGATTATATTTTAAAGAGATAATAAAAAACTTGTCTTTACCTTGTATACACAAAATTATAGCATTTGGATTACTCATGTATAAATTTGTCATTTCCCTAATACATTCCTTAGTACCTTCTGCCAATTCTGTAGTTGCAGTCTGCATCAAACAACTTGAATATTTTAGGATATGAAATTATATAATATTTAATTAAAAATGCAAATTTCTCATACACTGATAATTCCTGGTAAATCAACAAGCACCATTCTTTGAAGTCCAGGACCTTTGACAGTCATTGATATCACCTATTAATTAAAGACAAATTTAATTTGCATATAAAAAAGTTTCATATAAAATTTAAATTTTACATACAAAACATTTTGTTTAAATTGCAATATTCAAATCAAAAAGTATATTTGGAAACAATTGTAACTTTTATCTTAACTTAAATATTAGTTAGAAAAGAAAATCAGAAACTTAAGTTTATTAATTAAAGTCCTGCATACTATAATATGAACAATAAGTAATGTATAAACTTTCTTCATTAGAAAACCAGATGATGCTAAATGGATATATTGTAACATTATGCAGTAGCATTTTTACTAGTGATATTTGGATGAAGCATTTGGAATTTTAAATTGGTATTCATCAGTTTCTAACAAGTAAATTAGAAAAAATGGTATCCTAGCAACAAGTATTTTTCAGATCTAACACAAGTAAACATTTTTCTTTTGTAAGTAATTGTCTGTCAAGAGAATGCTATGGTCTTTCAATCTGCAATATCAAATAATGGAAACAAATACTATAACAACAAGTTTATGATCATGTAGTTTTAGATTAATGGTCTCACTGGCATTCAAAGAAGAGTTACATTATGTCAAATATTTTATTCATCTACTAAACTAAATATAATTATTTTTATATGATAGTTAATTTTAATTTTTTCAACAAACATAATTTAAAAATTGAACAATGTCAATTTTTGTAATTGAAAAAAATTTTTTATAAGTAAACTGAGCAATAAAAAAAATCCTTACAATAATAATTATAAAAATTATAATCATTATGTACTTAGTTTTAAATCTACTAATGTTTATTTCATTATTCACAGTTAAATTAGTTTATTATGCTGCACATGTTTTTATCTAGAAATATATATTGATAGAATCTGTTTTCTGTTATGATCTGCAAAAATAAAATATTGTAAGAATGATCCCCTTATTCCTCCTAAATTGCTTCCATAATATGCAATATTATGGAAGCAATTATTATTTTATTTAATAATTGACATGCTTTGTTTCAAAAGAGAAAGAGTTTAGGAGGAATAAGGGGATCATTAGGAATAGGATATTTTTGCTTCCATAATATTGCATATTATGGAAGCAAAAATATCTTTTAAAATGTCCATTTGCTTTTTTATTTACAACTCTAGTTTTATTTTATATAGTAGGCTGCAGTTATTTGTTTCATATAACTTACAATTTTATTATTAAAATATTATGCAAAAAAAAGAAAAACACACAAATATTTATTTGTATCATTGATTCAAACATTAAATTTCTAATATATCTTATAATTTAAATCCTTGCATTTACTTATTTTATGACTTCTTTCATACAACTACATAGAAATAATTGTAAATAAATGTCACTTGATAAAACTAAAAATAAATGTCAACCCAATAAGCCAAAAAGATAAAATTATGAGCAAAGTTTTCAGGCAAAAATATGATATTTTGTAAACACAAAGTCAAGATTACATCAAAATTCTTCAAAATATTCAAAAAACTAAAAAACAAAAATGTCTGTTTATATTTCTTGATTTTCAATGAAAATTATTTTTTTATCATTATACAAAGAGGAGTTATCAGGATATCAGAAAAATAAATGCATGATGCCACTACCTGAAGGTAAACATCACTAAATGTGTTAAATATTGTTTCAGTAAATCTTTTTTTCTATGTAATCATCATACATCCTGTATTTAAATAACTGACATTTGCATTTATAATTTCTGAAAATACATGGATATAGCATTACATTTCTTAATACCGCATAAGAAATAAAAATTATTAATTAATTTTTCAATAAACACTCAGATTCTTTTAATATTTTGACTCAAACACCTTATGCTTCCAGAAGTAATATTTATTATCCTAAAAATGTTTTCCTACCTGCTCCACAGAAAAGTTCCAAGAATTTCAAAAATACCTGATAATGATCTGTGGAGCAGGTAGAATATGTTTGTAGGATAATAAATATTACTTCTCAGAAGCATAAGGTGTCTGAGTCAAAGTATTAATTAATTATAATGTCTCACTAAAATTTTTAAATGCAATAAATATAATAAAAAATATATTAACAAAGAACTGATACTAATACATTAAAAAAAATTTTTTACCTCATTACTAACAGTATTCCCTTGAGGTACGCTATTCTTCATTCTAAATTCAACCTCTTTTCGAAGTTCTGCTAACTTAAATTGACAAAATTTTAATATAATTGATTGAATGTTATTTGAATCTCAACTATTTCAATACTTGCCTCATTTTCTTTTGTTAAATCAAATTCTCGAGAACTATCTTTAAAAAAAGCTACATGATAAGGTCCTTCACTCAATGTGACTTTTACCGGAGCTCTTGTCATCATTTCTCCTGCACCTCTATTTTGATCATAAAGTAATTACTTAGATTTACAGTGATACCTCAGGATACAAAATTGATCTGTTCCGAAACTGAGATCGTATCATGAAAATATCGTAAGGTGAATCATTTTTCCCCATATGATTACATGTAAAACCAAATAATTCGTTCCAACACGAAAAATACACTCAAATTAAAGCTAAGTAGTACATTAAAAAATTAACTATAGTAAGGAAAACACCGAAAATGCGTTTTGTAGTTGTAAATGTATAAATAACCATAATAGAATAATAATTGATTAAAAAAATGTAGTTTTATTTGCACTTTACCTCTGAGGATAGACGACGGTGGAGGTGTAAACTGGTGGCGGAAGAGAGGGAGAAGGGAAATTATACTAAAACTTAACTTACATAACATAATGTAACAATAACTTAAAAATAACTTAGAAAAGATTNATAGTAATTTTATGTTAAAAAACTTGTTAATACAAAAGATTGAATCTTAAGTAGCAAAAGATACATCTTCTACTATTAGACAATACTATATTTTTCTCTTTTTAAACTGCACTTATATTTATCATTTCAAAAATCATAATAAAATAGTTTTTATAATTTTATAAATATTAATCATGAAGATTTAAATTACAGTGGGTGATCGGTTAACGAACATAATTCATTCCAAGACTTTGTTCGCTATCCAAATTGTTCGTTAACTGATTATCAATTTACCATAGGTTTGTATGGGAATTTGATTAATTCGTTCTGGAGACCCCAAAAAATAAAAAATATATACTTTCTTACTACATTTATTTATATGTAATAATAAAAATACATATATACACACTCTTGCATTTTTATTAGTGATGTTTTTTTGTTTGTGGGGGTTAAATAATCTGTCTAATGTCAATTGCTTTTCTCTCTTCTTCAGGATTTTCAGAATTAATAGCATTGTAATTGTAGAGATCCCCGAGCCTATTAACCTCAACCTGGTTTGTATGCCATTCTAAGACCGTTAATCTGACATCCCCCACTTCTTCAAAAGATCTTTAATTAATAGCAGATATCGGTATTAATCCTCTTTTTCAAAATAAAACATATCTCACAGAGTTTCTTGGTGTTCTTCATTCAAGAGTTCTTGGCATTCTTCTGTTGTCAGATCCGTTTCAGGTTCCATTATGAGCTCTTCAATGTTCTTTATTTCTCAGATGTGATATTTGTTACTCCTTTAGCTGCTTGAGTTTTCTTAATTATACTGTATCTTTCTTAGATAAGATTGAACTGAACCCTACTGTAAATTTGTTCAAGCCATACTGCCCAGTAACATCAGACATCTTCTGCCCACTCTCTACCTTTGCTATTATACTCTCACCTTTCAAAAATAAAAACCGATGCAAAACTCAATGAGTGCCCGCCCAACAGTCTCGCAAATACTATAAAAGAATTGTTTGTCAGAAAAATAAAAGGCTGGAATTAAAAGGAAGTATTTCAAAGTTCGAGGAATACTATCTGATGAGTATATATCGGGTTGAGCATTGATGCTGGTGTCTCCCGTGTTTCAAAAAGTTTTGAATTGTTACCTGAAGACAAAAGAAAATCATTCGGTATTTGCTATTTCTATCGTTTCTTTTTGTTTGTTCAGTGAAGTGTTCGTTATCTGATCATAAAAATCTTTTGCGAAAGTGTTCGTTATCTGATTTCTTCGTTAACCGATCACCCACTGTATATAACCAATCAGTATAATTTTTATATAAAGTTGTTCTTCACAAAACTTTTACTCAAACAAATGAAAATATTTTCAAGTAATTTTAGATCATATCTCTTAAATATTTTAAAATAGAGTGCAAATTGTAGAAAAAGTTAATTGCTATTTATATTGATGAATTTATAACTGAAATACTATATGTTCAGAGAATTGTTTAAAAACTATAATTATGTTATAACGAATTTTAATCCTTATAAATTGGAAATTTTTATAAAAACTAGAGAAAACATATCATGAAATGCATGTTTAATATAAATTTTTGTTATGTCCTTAATTAAAAATGATTTTGATACTTATAAAACTGTGTGTGTAGAAATTACACTATCCAAATAAGAGTATTGAACTAAGAAAATTATGGTTTACTTTTTCCTACTAACTAGAGAGCAGGTATCAGTTTAGCATTGCTAGCTCTAAGCTGGCAAAATTAAACTTCCCTCAGAATAGATCTGCATTAACTAAAACTAGTATGTTAACCTCAGAAACATATATGTGGTTATCTGTAATAAGAATACCTTAATTTTTCTTTTTGGTTGTGACTTTTCTGTTCTTAACATGAGTTGTCTTCTCAATTCTTTATTTTCTTTTTCTAAGCGTTCAATTTCCCTCTGATACTTCAACTATAAAAATTACATAAAATTACATTAAAATTACATACTTAAAAACCTATATACTGTAAAAAAAAAAGTCTCACCTGAACTTGTATTAATTCTTCTTGTAATTTTTCCATTCTTCTTTTTTCATCAAATCTTGTTTGCTTGGTTTCTTCTGAAACAGATGTAGCTCTAAAAACTGTTGATGTAATATGTCCTGATAAAGGCAAATCTGTAGAAGAGGGGTTCAACAAAGCATAAACAGTATTCGTTCTAAATAAACTATCAACTTTTTATAGAAAGCAACATAAAAGCATTAAGTCAAATTTTATAAAAACAAAAACTTAAAATAAAATTAACTAAAATTAAAAAGATGTAGTTTTATAATATTTTTTTTTAATTAAAATTTAAAATAAAATATTAAAGTTAAAACAGCCTATACAACAAAACACAAAAACTTTTAAAGATATATTTTAGAAAAACAAAATTTTGTCCACATCTAATAAACCTTCCATATTTATAAATGTAAAGAAATTAAAATTGATGTAATACCAATACATCTTAATTAGGTCACTAAATAACAAGTTTAAATAATAAAATCAATTAATAATTACAGGTATCCCTCATACAACATGTTTTCGCTCTAACAGTTTGAAAATTGGGAATATCCCCTGTACAATGCAACTTCCAATTTCGCTCTAACACAGTTTTGGAAATTGTCTGTACAAAACTTCACAAATTTTAAGTGTAAACTTTTTATTAAAGTAAACATGCATGTTGTCTCAAATTTGCCCATGGATTTTAGAATATTAAAATTTTTTATTTGTTTTTTGCCTTTCATCAAGTTTAATGAAAACTAAATACATAGAGTAGATGTCATGCAAACAATTTTACTGATTCAAGAGAAAAATTCACATAAAAGGTGTTAAAGAATATTTTAAGAAATGTTTTAATATTCTGCAAGCGCTTTCAACGTATTTATAAACGCCGTCTTCAAGCAGAACCAGAATCAAATAGGTTTACAAACAAGTTTTTAAATTGGAACAAAAACGGCATTAACCGCTCAGAACGTAACAAGTTTAAAGATAAAGTATTAAATATTTTAATTCTAATTCTTAAGAATTAGAATTCTGTATTTCTTAAGAATTCTAATTCTTTATCTTTAAACTTGTTATGTTTTCATATTTTTTATTTTCATAGATAATATGAAAATGTTTCTGATACTTCTGATCAAGATTACCAAAAAAGCAGAGATGACAACGATACTTTGTAAAACAAAAATGCCTTCATTTAACTAAAATTAACATTAATGTGTAATACAGTACTTTTAACTGTGTTAGTTTAAATGTTGTTAGTTAATTATTAATTGGAAATAAGTTAGTGATTGCTTTAATAAACATATTTCTCTTAGTAATGAAAAAGAATAGTATACTTTTGTTAAGTTCTGGAACCTAAAGGACTATGTTTTGCATTAGTCCCACATTTTGTATAGCATGGTTTCACATAACAAGGCATTTTTTCAAAACATAACTACCGTGTTATACAAGAGATACCTGTACTAATATTTTAGCAAAACTGTGTTAAATGATTATTGTATACATAATTTATTTGTGCATAATAAATTGATTAAAAATATTTAAATTACAGAAAATTATACATTAGTTTATTAGTAATTTTACTAACTGTATAAATTGCAAATTTTTTTTATTAATTTTTTATACTGTTATTGTTTTTATTTGTTATATTATCTTAATCTGCTGGTGTTAACTGTTATTTGGGGGGTGAAAATCTTTTGTCCAATGGCATTTCCATGTATATGTAAAATAAACAAATAAATTTAATAAGAGAAGAAAAAATTCAGTGTTTCTCAACAAGTTTTGTTAACCTGTTGAAATTTTTTAAACTAACAAATTCAGTATATTTATAAAAATTAAAGGAGTTAAAAACATCATTCACATAAAAAAGAACTTTTCTGCTGATTTGTTAATATTTTTGTTTATGATATTTTAACACCTGTGTACAGTTACTCCTTGCTTAACATGATTTTGCTTAATGTAGGATTTGATTAATGCACAAAACTAGTTGCGGCAATTCCTTTATATACATGGCAAAAATTTTAATTAATGTGGCTTAACTAGCTGTCTTTCCTTAACATAGATACTGTATTTGATTAATGCGATTATAATATATGTAGTAGTGTTGACAAATTAATTAACCATGTTAATCAAGGGATACCTGTATACAATAAATGTACAGTACACGAGTAGTCAGTAATTTTGATGCATAATACAAATAATTACTTTATTTTGTTAATGTTATGTCAGACTATTGATATATAATTATGAATTAAAATACAAATTAACGATTTTTAAAATAATAAAACCTAATATATACTGAATATCAACCAAAAATCTGAAGTCCATTTTCATAAAATTAATAAATTATTAAGTAAAGTAGACTCCCAAAAATATTTGTTTTTTCAAAGATTGTAAAGTCCAATATGTAAAATTTTATGTAATATTTAAATTTAAAGTTTATTCATTAATGCTCTTTTAATGTTTTGATGTTCATTCTCTACAGGGAAATATAAATAAAAATATTTGTACAAAATAATCTGTATGATTTAATAACATAATTAAATAAACTTAGTCCAAGGAATTATTATAAAATGATAATTGTAGAAATTCTTGAACTAATTTTATGATAATTGTATCTTATAATATAATTGAGATGGGTTGATAATAATAATAATAATAATAATGGTTAGGAGTTGAAAATTGAAATTTAGTACACAGTTAGGATATGTGATGAGAATGTACACAAAGAAGGGACTTTCTGAAATTTTCCCCGCGGAGGAGAAGGAGAGGTTAAGGATTACCCTGAATTCAGATTTTACTGTACTATTTTAAATGCGGTTTTTTATGGAAAATCGAACATGTTTTTAGACCAATCTAAAAATTCTCTAATTAGTCTCGGAATTGAGTGAACCTAATTCTTGCACCCAGTAAAAATGGGTAAGATCAGCTATAATCTAATAATCTTGTTGCTTGGGCAAATTTTCGCTATCGCTACTTTTTGCCCAAGCAACACCAGGCTCATCTGCTAGTAATAATATAATTTGGTTTATTTGGATATAATTATTTTGGATCAAAATAAGAAGCAAGAAATAAATAACAATAATGGATAATTTCTCACCTTCTGCCAAATTGGTAATGGCATCTCCATCACTAGCTTCAGAAAACCAATCATTTAATAGTCGAATTTTATCTTCTACATTCAATAGCCTATTTCTTAACCATCCTTTTTCTGGTAATGTTATTTTGTCTTTCATTTCTAATAAAGCAGTGCGATAATGATCAATTTTGTCAGGTGGAGGTGCAAGTTGTTTGATCCAACTAAAATCAGGAAGCTGATCTTTCCACTCCTCATATTTCTAAAACAATGCAATTTTTTTATAAATAAAATTTAGATTAATAAAAGTATAAAAAGTTATACACATCATACCTTTGATAACTGTACACCACCACCAATTGCAGAACCAATCACAATATACCTAATCTTTAAAATTCCTCGAAGTATCCTAGCTACAAGCACTATGTTTCGAGTTTGAATATAATGGACTTGACACTTTCCTTCAAGTAGATTTGATGAACGTTTAAATGTTGAATAATTACATATTAATTTATTTCTACAATATCGAATAGATGACACTTTACATAAACTTCCTGTCCTTTTTGAAGATGATCTTTTTGATATCTCTAACCTGAAAAATTTTAACCAATCATCTAAGAAAAGTTTCAAATTATTAAACTGTAAATATTCTTTACTTTTAATTAGATCATTGTTACATAGAATAATTCTCAGCTTTCTTGCAACATTAATAATATGATCATATAAGAAACCAAGCTTGAATTATATTACAAATCAAATAATCAAGCCAGATTTATTATCTGATTACATATTGGCTAATTATATGCATAATTCTACATAATTTGGATTAAAACATAGTCAAGTCACCATCTTGTATTAATCACTTACCTTTTGTTCTAATTATATAGCATTTGTACATTTAATTGTCAAAATGCAGCAAATAGTAAATTTGGCTTGATTATTACTAATATAAAATAATTCAAAGAAGTGATTAAATAAACAAATAATTATTTTCTACTATTGTCAAATTTAATGATAATATACCTACAGATTTTAGATTTAATTGTATTAATATTTATAAACTTTCACATTCTGTTTTTATTTTTGTATTATTACAAAACTTCTAATTTGAGGAACTGATGTTGATCACCAGATAAAGTTTTTGTTAATCTGTACCAGTCATGAGCAACCCACAATATGCTTTCTGCCCATAAGATCCTAATATGCAGTCCATAGCTTTGGCAAAGTAATTTTATTTCCCTGTTTTTTATCTTGTACCATTATTATAACTAACTAAGCCAGAGGTCGCCAAACTTTTTTAACCGTCGACCCCCAATCACTTTCCAAAGCCTCACATTGACCCCCACCGTAAAGTTTTATTACAAGTGTATGAGCGAAAAAAAAAACGTTGTGGTTTGTGGTCTCTGTCTAAACAAAAAAAAATTGTGACCCCTTAGCCGCATCGACCCCCCAATGATGTTGCATCGACCCCTGGGGGTCCATATCGACCACTTTGGCGACCCCTGAACTAAGCTAATATTCATGACAAAGAACATTGAAATTAAACCTTGTCAGTAAAAATATGAGAAACTAAATTACTAGTTGCCTATCATTAGCATTTATTACTTTAGTACCTAGTTTACTGATGGTTATGGAATGTATTGGTATTCAGCAGGCTTAAAACCTGCAACTTTAAGAAAAAGTGCATGCAGTCCACTACAGTAGAAACCTAAGAAGTTCAACTTGTGGCCCACACATCCAGAAAAGATTGCTCGTCACTTCTCTATACTTTACTTGATACTTGAAAATTTCTTTAGATAATGAAATAACCTTTCCTGCATCATTATCAGAAAAAATAGAGCACTGCTCATAGAAAGCAAATCAATAAATTTATTATTGATACATTTTAAAACATCAATATCATACAGTTGTTTATATGCATTTGCTTTGTTGAGTAACAATTAATGGTCTAAGCTCCAGATACATTAAAATTTTTTGTGCAGAAATGACTATTCAAATATAAATAATAGTTTTATGATAATATACATTACTCAATTTTTTCAGTTGTTGTTCAGATTTAGTGAATTGAAATGTGATTTTTATTTGGCATTGTCTAAAGAAATCAACTAAGAAACTGCCAAAAAGTGGCACAGGAAATTTAAAATCTTAGAGATAATGTGAGAAAAATTAACTTTTTGTAATGACAGAAAATAAAGCAAAATAAATATTTTAAAATGGATATTCTGGAGAAAACTTTCTGGATATTCTGGGAGAAAAATGGATATTCTGGAGAAATATTTTAAAATGGATATTCTGG